TGCCTTTGTACATAAACTCTTTTATGTTCTAACCTTGCTATATTTTTATTTGACCTTGAAGTTATGGAATTAGGTTATGCTGTTTCTAAGACTATCTTCCTGAGGTCATTTATTAGCCATTTATTCTTTGTCTCCATCTTTTCTAGTTTTCTATTTTTGAAATCAATTTCATTATAAAGCCTTCAACTAGTAACTCTGTACAAATAAATCCTAGTTCTAGGCCCCTAATCATTCTGTATCACCTTGTCTTGACCCCCATATTTTGAGTTGTCTGTTGAGCATTACCAGGGACACCTCAAAATCAATATTTATGAAAACAAACTTATTAAACTTCTCATGAGAACTAGCTTCTCTACACCCTGACTCTTTCTTTTAACCAAAATTTTCCCAATTATTCTGAGATGAAACCTTGGAGTTATTTTGATTTTTACCTTTTTGTTGCCTTCCATGTCTACTTAGTTATTTAGTAGCTAGGTGGTACAAAAAAGGGAGCTCTGGGCCTGAAGTCAAAAAGACCTGAATAGAAATTCAGCCTCAGACACTCAGATAGCTATGTTACCTTGGGCAAAGCATTTTAATGTCTTCTTCAATTTCCTTACTGTGACATGGAGGTAATAATAACACCTACCCCGCAGGATTGTTGTGAAGATCATATAAGAAGATAATTGTTATTTTCTTAAAAAGCACTTAGCACAGTACCCTGATACTTAGTATGTGCTATATAAATTCCATGATGACAATGATTAGAAATCACATTTTTTATGTTATCTATGGTATACAGTCTTCAATTTTTACTCTTAATTGCACAGTTCTAATAAAATATCTCATCACCTCAAATCTGAACTTAATTTTATATTCTTATAACTTGTATTCCTTTCTCCAACCCATTCTATACTTTACTACCAGATTAATCTTAAATACCACATTTATTATGCCATTCTTAATGCTTAAAAACTTCCAAGGGTTCAGAATTTCCTAGAGGAAGATGTAGAAATTCCTTAGGATGATATTCAAAATCCTAAATCCTAAATGAAGTTGCAACCTTTCCCCCCCCAAAATTTATCTCCAACTACTCACAAATTTGAAAATTATACAATACCACAACCATATGGTCTAGAAATACCCCTTGTGCATTTTTATACTATCTTGTCACCAGGAATGCCATTTTCCTCCCTCCATCTTCACCTATCCGCATCCTATCTGCTCCTCAAAGCACAGTTTAAACCTTATTTCTTCCATGAAGTCTTCTCTTATCAATTCCAACCCACATTAATTTCTTTTTCTCTTCCTGACTTTTCTCTGGACTTCGAAATCATGCCTCCACACCAGATACTTTCATTACCTTCACCTCTCACTTTTCTGTTTATTTTTGTGTGTTGTCTTCCTTTTCTTTTTGCTTATATTTTTTATCCACAGGGCTTAGCACAGTGTGATACACATAGTAACAGCTTAATAAATTATTGCTTTATTTTCTTCCTTCCTCTCTCCCTCCCTCCCTGAACTGTAAAGTTCTTGAGGGAAAGGACTTTGGCTTTAATATTGTGCCCAGCAGAGTATTTGCCATGTAATGGATTGCTAAATTTGATATTTTATATTTACTAACAGATGGTATATGTGTGTCTTTACATGTAGACAAATATACATACAAGTATGCACACATACACCCACGTATATATGTATATATATATATGTAAATAAATGAAATGTGAAAGTAGAGAGTAGTAGACCAGAAAGCAACTAAAATCAAGTCTTCTGAAATATGCTGAGTATGTGACCCAGTCCTTTAACTTCTCAGTGCTCTAGGCCACTATCTAAGACTAGAAATTGTAGAGAAGTTGATTGTTGTTCAGTTGTTTCAGTCATGTCCCTCCAGCTTTTCATGACCCCTTTGGAGATTTTCTTGGTAAAGACACTAGAGTGGTTTACCATTTTCTTCGCATTTTACAGATGAGGCAACTGAGGCAAACAGGTAAGTGACTTGCCCGGGGTCACACAGCTAGTAAGTGTCTGAGGCTGGATTTGAGCTCAGGTCTTCCTAACTCCAGGCCCAGCACTCTATCTACTGCACTAACTGGCTGCTTTGCAGAAAAGTTACTGACTTGTATTGGTCATGGAGTTTCTCAACTGGGAGTACCCTATACCAGTGAAATCATATATCTAGTTCCTATCCCCTAATATAACTGTATTGTCTTTCATAAATGCAGATGAATTGCTAATGAAAAATACTGTATTTTATATTTCTATGATAATTTGCAAATATAGCCACAATGCATAAGATCATAAAGCAGCAGTACAGGTTTTCAGACTTAAAATTAGCACTATCCTGTTACGCCACAGGTTAAGATGAAATCTGTCTAGACTTAATGAAATAAAAATTAAAATAGAACTCCGGGAAAATCTACTGATTTTGGAATTTAATGTAACTGGTATTATGTCTGCCATGACCAGTGTTGGAGAAGTGAACAAAAGAAGTATGTTCCCCACATTATTTTTGCAGATTAAAAAGAAAAGTTTAATTTTTTTAACTTTTAAAAATGCTCTTTATAAAGCATTTTATATCCTCTCATACCTTTTGTTTAACCTTTTCTAAAAGGCTTAGGTCAAGATGAAAATCAGTTACATTACCATACAGCTGAATGGAAGTAGACATGTGGTTTGTGTGAGACACAGTGATAAGTAGATGCTGACCCCGTATCTACCCTGGAACTTGATTTATTGAAAAATTCCCTGTTGTCACTTTGCTTTTTGCTTATTTGCATTTTTCTCATAAAGGTAGAATAGAATATGTACAGTTACATGACCTCCAGGGCAATGTAACATGGCAGACTTTATTTAAAATCAATTACGGAATCCAAGGCCAAAGTAGCCTTTTGCCCAAGTGATCTCACCCTTCAGGAAGAAAAACAAAAACAAAACCCTTCTTGGTTGTTACTATAAGTGACCTTTGACCTGTCATTAGCATTGAAAAATCCTTTTTCTGAGACACTAGTAAAATGAATCATACATCCTTCTTGGCTAGCGTTCACCCTTTCTTTTATCTCATTTTCTTTAAGTTTGTTGATTAATTATGAAGAAGACTTTCACCATTTCGGGAGTCTGCAAACTCATTATCATCATTGTTGTTGTCATTGTTGGCAATGCACATTTCTTCAGAAATTACACTGAGCCACTATTGTCTCTAAACCTTTAACAGAATTCCAGGCCCCAAGACAATTTTTAAATTGTATTTTTGATGCTATAATGAAAACACAGTGATGGCATGATGGAAAGAATTCTAGACTTGGATTCTGGAAACCGAGATTTCAGTCCTGCGCCTGATAGTAATTGTGTAGCTATGGCCATGTTACTTAACCTTTCAGAGTTGCATTTTCTCATCATTAAAATAAGGATGGTCATACTTGTTCTGCCTATCTCCGTAGGGTTTTGTAGCAAAAGTGCTTTGCAGATTTTCACATTGCTATGTAATATGAATTCTTATTATTAACAGTTCTGAATAACCACTCCCAGAAAGCCATCCTTTGTAACAAACTATAAAAAATGGAGTCTGAGATAAACAATTCATTACAACTGACCAACACATTCAACTCCAGCGTCATGTACAGTGTTCTGCACCCATGGTCCTCCACCTCTGCAAATAAGAGAGGGAAGTTTGTTCTTATATCTCTCCTTTGGAATCAGGCTTGATCATTCTAATTTTAAAACATTCAATTTCAGTTGTTTTGTTGTTATTTGATGTCCAGTTATATTATTATTGTAGTGATTGTTGTACGTTGTATGATTGTAGTGCATGTTGGTTTTTTTGTTCTAATTTTATTTTGCAGTAGTTCACGTAAGTCCATATTTTTCTTTTTTCATCGTATTCATGGTTTCTTACATTGTTATAATATTGCATTACATTAATGTATCAAAATTTGTTTTAACTGTTTCCTACTTAATGGGCATCTTCTTTGTTACTAGTTTTGGTGAATCTGGGACATTTCATTTTTTCATCATTTACCATCTTAGGGTATATGCTCAATGTTACTGTGTCTGGGTCAAAGTGTATAGATACTTTTCTCCTTTTTTCCCCATAATTCCAAATTGCTTCCTAGGATGGTTGTCCTAATGCAGAATTCCACTAACAGTACCTTGGAGAACAAATAATTTAATATTTTGCATCAACTTGTGATCCCATGTAACCTTTTAAAATTTATATTATTAACTCAGCTATTTATGAACAACAAATAAACTTTCTTAATGTCTTCCCTTTTTCATTTTGTTTTTTAAAATAAAGTCTTTGATATAATTTTGTAAACCTGATGATTTATGTGAGTTTAAGAATGTGAAGTCTTAATATATTTATCTCTATTTATTTTATGAAAGTATCATCTTTTTATAGTATAAAAATTACCTGAAATGATATCTGGGAAATTTGGGTCATGTTGTTGAATATTTGCTATGAACTTCACAAAAATATGTTGCAAAATAATTCTTATTGTGAAACCTTGGATGTCTCTGGTAATGTAAAATATTTGACTCTCAGCATAAAAGACATTAAATCCTGACTACTATCATGAAGAAAAGTTAGTTCTCAAGACTTAACAGGCTATCAGAGGCTAATTGAGATTCATCAGATCGCCTATAAAACAAAATTAAATTGACTTTTATGATTATGTTTGCATGTTTTCTCAAGGAGCTGCCTTTTCAGAAGAAGTTAGTGTGAATTGGTATGATATCTTGCTTTTTGTGTACTATACTGATCCTCAATAATGTAGAGTCAATATGTTTAAACTCTAAATTGTTCAGACCTGAAGCTTTAGTTTATTAAGCTAAATTGTAGAGCAGATACGTTAGAAAGTCAACTTAGAATTTATTTGTTTGGTAATACTACCTTGGGAAAATCTATCATTTTGTTACACTTTTTAAAATGACTTGAGTGAGCTATGTTGTGATTTAAAACATATTTAGTAACATTTTGAATTTAAAATGTTTAGCAATATTTTTATTTTTATTTTTTTAAGGAAAGGAAATTTCCCAAGTTTGTAGCAAAAGAAATGGAGAGCATGTTTATAGAAGAAATGAGGTCTTCCGTGAATTTGCTAATGGCCAATCTGGAAAGTCTTCCAGTATCTAAAGGTGGTCCCGAGTTTAAACTGCAGAAGTTAAAGCGATCACAGAATTCTGCTTTCTTAGATATGGGAGATGAGAATGAGATTCAGCTGTCAAAATCAGATGTGGTGTTGTCATTCACATTAGAGGTAAGTAATCACATGATAGTCTATCAGCTTAAAGGAAACTGTGAAAATAACATTTTCTGATTTTTATACTTAAAAGCTCTGTGTATATGGTATATATACATACACATACACACGTACATGTTATGTATATATGTGTACACACATATGTATGCTTATATATCAGTTAAATTATACCTGAAAATTCCTAGTTAAATATTATATGCAAATGCATGTAGATTTAAGCGGCAAATCAATGTTATTAAATAGTGTGCCTTCCTTGGACCACCTGTTAGTTTCCTTTGCTGATCATCATCCATATCATACCCTCTAATTTTAAGTGTGCCCCAAAGTTCTATCCTTAGCCTGTTAGTCTTCTCTCCATCTACTCCCTCATTCAGAAACTTCGACACTTGCCATGGATTTGATTATCTTCAATGTACAAACTACTCCTTGATCTACTTAGTGCTCATGTCTCTCCTGAGCTTCAGTCTCAGCTCACCCCCAGTTCTTTGGATCCCTCAAACTAGATGCCCTCTAGGCTTCTCAAAGTAAGCATATCCAAAACAGAACTCGGTATCTTTCAACCCATATCCACCTTGTTCCAAACGTCTGAAGGGCACCAAACTCCTGTCAAAGCCGGTGCCATCCTTCAGATCTCCCACCTTCACTCCTTCCCTGTTATTCTTGACTTCTTACTTTTAATTATTTCATATATACGTATACACAAACGGTATCTTGTCGCTTCTTTTCCCTCAACATTTTTCATGTCCCCTCTTCACGTATGTAGCTATCCTCATCGCCTCTTGCCTTGGCTCGTTGGGCTTCCTGCACCGAGTCTCTCCCCTCTCCATTCTATTTTCCTAGCAACTGCCAAAGTTTTCAATTTTTATTGAGTCAGTTCTTTGTTTGCCTCTTGCCTCTGAGATCAAACATATTCATTTGGCATTAAAAGCACTTCAAACCTAGCCCCCTCCTACCTTTCCAGCCTTATTACAATTGATTCCCCTTCATGCAGTGTATTGTAGAAGACTGACCTCCTTGATGTTCCTCATACATGATGCTCCATTTCCTGCCTCCTTGTGTATTCTTAGCTTGTGGATTCTAATCAGGAATAGGGCTGGATTTGACCCGTTGGTTATGGTTTGCCTACTCTTGCACAGTTCAGTGAAGTCAGAGGTGTTGTTACCCCCTCACCCACTTCAAATGCATAGAGAGGTATATGTGTGTGTGTATGTACATGAAAATACATATATTATTTATATTATATATTTGCAGTCACTAGGAATATAATTCTTCTTTTGATACTCCTGATTTGCCTCATTCTTCATAGGCCTTACCCTATTTCCTTATAATGATCTATCTTATCTTTACAGCATCATAGTATGCTATTAAATTCATGCATTATGATTTATTCAGCTATTATCTAGTCATGGAACATACAGCTAGTTTTCCATTTTTGCTGTTTCAAATAAATAAATACATAGATTTCTTTTTTATGATAGGTTTAGAGTAACATATTAGTAAATGAACCATTGACTCACAAGTTATGAATCATATATTTTGTGATTGCTCTCCAAAATTATTGCAGGGATTTATTTTAATATATGTACATATGTATGTACATATATATGTACACATATAGATATTTTTTCAATCATTCTTCTTGGTTGGAATTCACAAAGTTTTCTATTAGAATGTGTTTGGTCTGCTTGTTTTTTTTCTTGGGAGTATTTTTCCCCCCTAGTTTTCTTTTTCAAAGTAAAACTAGAAAGAACAAAATTTATGTGGTATTTTTGTTTGCTTCTCTCTTCTTTTTTGTTGCTTAAAGGTAATCTTTTGTCTTTTTTCTGTCTTTCAATCTTAGCTGTTACCAGAGTTTAGAGTCTTAATTTACTCTGGATCCAAATATCTTAAGTAACAAAATTGCATATGTAATTTGGTTCCCTACATGATATGTGTTTATATGAAATATAATACATGTTCCCCAAACTTGATGGATGCCCCTGGAAGCTGTGGGGATCTAGGTGTAAGCCTGGTCTTAGATGTTACAGCCTTTAATCTCTCCATTAGTGCTATTTAAGCCTTAACTGGTTAAATTAGTGGTTATTCACACCAGAGCAGCTGGAAGGAAAGTCTCATTTTGGTCTTTTCTCCCTTTGTGTTCTTCTGTAAATGAAATTCAGAGGTAAGAATGTGGTGGTCAGCCCCTATTCTGAACCTCTGTCCTCTGTTACTTTGTCCTTTGAGGCTGAAATGTGCACAGGATGAAAGTCTAATATGCTTTCCTTCTATTTTCCCCTCTCAGTCTGGGTCTAAATTGCTGAGATTTCAGTGTAACTTAAAACACAGTAGTTTTAAGTTTTTAACACTGTGCCAACCTGACTTCCTTTAGTTCTAAATCTGTGATCCTATGGTTTTTCAAGACTTCCAGCGATGAGTTACTCTACCTACGTATCGCTATTATTGGATGTAATTTCAAAATTACACATTTGATTATAAGGAGAGCATTATAGGTACCTGTTATTCTACCTGCCCCATTTTCATCTTGTTCCATTTTCTCACACTCAGTCTTTAAACAGGCTTTGTATTATACATTTTTAGTCACCTCTCAGTTGTTCAGAAGCATATATTCTGGCTCTTTCTTTTTTCCTTTTGCCAGCACCTTGTCTGTCTTCCTGTCCCTGTTCATTAGCAAATCAGAAATAACTCAGAAAAGGGAATATGATAGAATCAGTTTTGATATTTAACAATATCTTAAGTAAGAAGCTTAATAGAGAGGCATTTAAACAGAGGACTAAAATTAGGTTGGTTTTACATGATGAACAAAATTGAAATTACCCTGATCTCTTTGGCCTTCGTTTTCCCTGACAATTTAGGAGTCACTGCGTATTATTCTGTGAATTCAGAGTTATAAACTTGTTACTCTATTTATAAAACATTTTAAAACTGGCAATTCTTCAGGGTAAAGCATTCCCTGCACAGATGGTAGTATTGTCGTAGTGAACAGAATGATTGTTTCACAAGTTGGGTGTTTGAAGAGGTCCTATTTACAATAACTTGTCGTGGAGGTGACAGAAATAATGTTAGCAGATGCTTTCTTTCATCTCTTTTACACTTTGGCTATTTGACAGACTGAAGAGGGAAATGCCATGTAAATGGATAATAATCTGAAATGTGGGCCGATGTTAGCACATTTTCTCTTAAAATCATCTTACATTGTGTAATTTGCTTCATTCCTAATGTAGGTTGTAAAAATTATACCATCTGATTAGAATTAAGCAGAAAAAGGTTCCTTGACCCACCCCTTATCCCTCTGGCAAAAAAAAAAAAATACTTAAAATCACAGCAATTCAGAGATTTGCATGTGGCCTTAATTTATGAAAAGTAAGTGGAAATGGCACTCATGTTAGATATTCCAAATAACTCAGCTGGTACAGGAGCTTCATTCCTAGAGAGATTCAGCACATCCCTTAATGGTGAATGCTACACATACTTGTTTTGTTTAATTAATAGTCTTTGAGCTCTGTTCCAGAGTTATGCTTCCATGTAGGATGAGGAGCTGAATACATCTTCCTCAAGTATTAGAAGCTTCTGGAATATGTCACCATTTTCCATAAATTCCTGGAAACATCTTTTCAGTTATATCTTTAATAGTTTTATACATTTGTTTGCAGTTGAAGAGAAGCAAAAATGACAAAAATCCAAGAAACTTTTTAATTTAAAATTGATTAAAATTGATTAAAAATGGAGGAGAAAAAACTCTGACTCTTGGAGCAACAGAACATGGGTGGAAATCTTTCCTCTTGCACTTACTATATGTGTTATCTCCTTGGGCTACAGTTTTCTTTCACCATAAAATGAGGGGTTGAACTAGATGTCTTCCAGGTTCTCTTCCACCTGTAAGTCTATCCTTTGAACCTATAAAGATTTCATTGTGTTGGCCATTTTTCTGAGGTATCAATTGTCCTCATATTTTCCTCTAGGAAAAAAATACAGAACAAGAAGCGATTAAAATGTTTTATACATTCAAATTCATTTACTTATTTATATCTCTTACCTTATTCCTTCTGGCTTTCTAGGAATTTACACTGGGATTTTGGATTATCTGAAAGGGAGAATCAATTACTCTGAAGATGATTGATTGCCTTTATATGTCGTCTTATCTCATGCTTCTTATAAAGAACAAACCTCATAGTATATACTGAGTAATCCAGAAAGGGTGAATTTGGGGAAGGAACTTTTTCATAATCAATAACTGTATACCATGAAGTGTTCTTAAGTTTGAATATGAAAATATTATATACTTTTATACCAGGTCAGCCATCAAAGGAAATGATATGCACATGAAATAATACCTGAAGCTTCAGGTATGAATTTATAAGAATGAATGATAATATGAGTTTGATACAATAAAGAGCATTCGACTTGTGTTTAATGAAACTAAAGAAGGCCATCCTTGCATATTAAAATGCATAAAATAAAATACCTAGGATTACAAAGGAAACCAATTATGTTGAAATACATTTGCCAAATTATTTTAAAAACAAGTCCATAGAATCCATGTAAATAACTCCTACCTCTCACTTTGTCTTTCTTAAATATACAGTGCTAATATATCAAAATAGAAAACAATAAGAATTAATGACAAATGGTAGTAACACATATTGATTTTGTCATTGTACATAAAGTGGGAGATCAGTCTACTAAAATAGACCACAACTTACGACATAATAGCCAAGACCTAGGAAGTTGCCTGAGCCACTTAAAAGATTAAGTGACTTGCCTATAGTTTCACAATGGTAGTAATAATCTAAAATAATAAATATTAAAACATTTCTGAAATCACCATAACAAGAAGCAGCGTGGTACAGTGAAATAAATGCTAAATTTGGAATCAAGAAACCCAGGATCAAATTCCAGATATGCTATTTACTACTAGTTAGCACAGTGGATAGAGCACCTGACCTGGAGTCGGAAAGACAGGAGTTCAAATTTGACCTTAGATGCTTGCTAGCTGTTTGAATCTAGGCAAGTCACTTAACCTCTATTTTTGCTTTGGTTTCCTCACTTGTAAAAGTGGGATAGTAACAGCACCTACCTCCCAGGGTTGTTGTGAGGATCAGATGAGATAATAATTGTAAAGTGTATAGCACAGTGCCCAGCACATAGTAAGCTTGTTATTATTATTGTCATTATTATCATTATTTTTTTATGTTGTTGTTGTGGTTGTGGTTGTGGTTGTGGTGGTGGCTTTGAGCTAGTTACTTCATCTCTCTGTGCCTCACTTTTCGAATCTATAAAATAAGGATAAGAATACCTAGGCTGTCTACTTCATGGGAAATTTTAAAGGAAATCAGATAATGTATGTAAAATGTTCATATAAGCTTCTGCTTCTATTATTGTACAATGGGGCAATGTCATTAATGTCCATCAATTATAAAAAAGAGATTGCCTTATGGTAGATGATATTTCATGCATATGCCTCTCATCACAGTTTTTGAGATTCAGTTGTGAATCGTTTTGTAGATTTACATTAGTGAATGCTTGCATTAAATCATTTTCATTTTTAGCAGCCTGAGTTTAGAGGTCTCTTAAAGAGTGTCCCTTAAATTTAAATATTTTAAAATAATTTTCAGTTTATAGTTGATAGAAGATATTTGAGTTTGTACTTAAATAAACTTTGCAGGAGATTGATTCTTTATTATATCTTCAATTGTTAAAAGTTGAAATTGAAGAATATAAGAAAATAAATGGCATAACTTCCTTTCAGGGAGTAATATTGATTGATTTTCTAGGTGGTAAATGATTCATTCAAACACTGTTTATTCCTGTGAATAATATTCTATGCTATCATCATCACAAAGTGCTATAAAACCAAATGAGGAAGTAAACTTTTCAAAATCTTTGTGGATTTAGAATTGCTTCATGAAGGAGGGGACATTTGAGTTCTGCTTCAATGGATGGAGAGAATTTCTCTCTGGGGACAGGATTGCCATTGTTGCAGTATGAAAAAATAATATAGGTGGGAAAGCCCAAGGCACTTTTTCATGGGTAGAATTACTTAACGTTACCATATCTCTGCTCTTCTTTTGGTCTTATATGTGATACAATGCCTTTTTGTTCCTTTTCTTATATTTAGATTGTCATAATGGAAGTTCAAGGCTTAAAATCGGTTGCTCCAAATCGAATTGTTTATTGCACAATGGAAGTGGAAGGCGGAGAAAAACTTCAGACAGATCAGGCTGAAGCTTCAAGGCCACAGTAAGCTATTAACAGTGTTTTGTTTTGTTTTCTTTTATTAGAAATGTGCTTTCTTTGCAGAATGGTGTGTTATCTTAACATTCTGAAATCACTTTTTGGATAGCTTGTTTCAAGTGCAAAGAATCTGTGTTTGACTTTTTTTGATGATGGCATTCTAATGAGAAGAATAGCTGTATTCTTGTGAGATATAACTAGGGAATCTGATGTGCAGATGTGAAATTAATTATAAATGAATAAAATGTTATAAATTATTGTAAGAAATTATAAGTATCACTGGCATTACTATAAATTGCACATGGGTGAAATTTCGGTGATGAGGACGTAACAAACAACCTTTATTTATATGTTCTGTAAATATGGATTTTTGGAGGAAGAGAGTAACAAACCAGCTTGGATAGTAGCATGGTTGGACAAAGGAAAAAATAGTTAATAACTCTCACTCTCTAGCTATCTAACATATTAGCTTTTGTTGCAGACATCTTCTCAACCAGAGGCTGACACATGTCACCAGAAACTGGTACTAATTTACAGTGGTCACACCAAAGAGGAGCAAGTTGGTTCCAATGTCTAGCTCTGTGTATGCTACAACAAGGGATAGAATTCCCTTGCTACCACCACCTTATCTCAGTAAACCTCTGTGTTCATTTCGATGGGTGCTTGCTGGGCCCAGAAGTTATCTGGGAATTATTTAGAAGCATAGTAATTATAGGACTACCCCAATAGTGGCAAAAGCAAAATGTTTTGGACTGAGATAAAGGAATGGGAATTTAAAAAATTTTTTTGGTTCTTGTCTGATGCTGGTAAGATTGAAATGATGGTACAGATAGGTACAGGTGTCATAAAATCTCAGATCTGGATTCCACCTTAAAGATCAACAAAACCAGTCTTTGCATTTTATATCAGGAAACTTAGATACAGAGAAGTTAGATAATTTGCCCAAAATCATAGAGATAGTAAGTAGTAGAGCAAAGATTGACACCCAGGTCTATGGATTCCCAGTCCAGTGTTCTTGTCACTGTATCATGCTGTCTCCTTAAAGCCTTCACTTCAAAAAATATTTATTTTTTGAATGCCCTCAGTGTAGGTTGCAAAGATAAAAATGAAGTATTTTCTGTTCCCTCAGGATATTAGAGTTTTGTAGGGGGAAGAGACATGTGCACAATTAAGTATAACGTAAGTTAAAATGTCCTAAATACATTGGAGAGGTCATGAAGAATAATATTCAAGACTTAAAGTTCTGAGAAATCAATTCCTGTTGAAGGATCAGGGAAAGTTTCATGGTGACACCTGAGCTAGGCTGTAATGAATCCCAGAATCTTGGAGTTTGAAGGGACCTTAGATATTATGTAGTCCAGACATGTCAGACATGTGGCCAGTTAGTCCAATACTCATAAGTGCTGCCCAATCCAGATTAAAATGTAATTTAGAAATATTTTAGCAAAGTAAATACCAACGCAGTAGAACACAGAAAATGTTAATATGTGGTTTTCTAAGTCAGTATGCAGCCTGTAGGGATCTTTATGTGTGATTCAGTATCCTCCATTTCTGTTTGAGTTTGACACTATTGATCTAGTCTAACCCTTTCATTTTATTGACAGAGAAACTGATTCTTAGAAGGCTTAAGTGACTTTCTTACGACAACCTGATGAGTGAATGGCAGCATTAATAGTCACATCTAGGTGTTTTGCCTCCCAAGTCTTTTGACCATTCAAGGAACAAGCATGGATTAGTTTCCTGTTATATACTAGATATTGTGTTACATACTGGAGATATAAATATAAAAGTGTACTAGTATCCACTCTTAAGAGGATCTTATATTATGCTGAATGGAGACCTGAAAATATATGGTTATACTACCTACATGCACATACACACACACACACACACAAACATATACATATATACATATACACATACATGCATATGTGTATATGTGTGTGTATGTATGGTGTAGTTTCCCCCAAGTGACCCACTTCCTGCTCATACTTCTGGGTTTGTTCCTCTGGTCGCTGTCTACATGAAATATCAAATTCAATCAACCAATTAACATTTATTATGTGTGTGTGCCATTGTGTGCCAGGCACTATGCTAAACAAGGTACTCTGTAGGCCAGTATTATTTAAAATACAGCTCATGAGCCCCATTGATCATTCATCTTTAATAGTAAACAATTTGAAACAATTAGATCAAAGCAAAGGCATTTGCTGAAATGGCATAGCATGAATAGTAGCAAAAAATTAAAAAAATTCCTTTCTTCCCTCCACACCTGTGGTGCAGTATCCCACAAATGCAGTATCCCACAGTGTCAGAAAATTCATAAGTAGAGAGAGGGTCATTAAGTGGGAAACACATGACTAAGAAAATCTCCTGCGTTGGGCAGGAGATAGGCCCTGAAGTCTTCTTGTTTCTCATTGAATGATCATGCTGCTCCCATTGGGACCCTGCTAGGAGCTTTCCTGGACTGCAACCTTTGATCCTCACCACATCTTCACTTGACCCTTCAATCCCCACTCTGGAACTGATCTCTGCTGGGCATGTTATCATCTGCTAGGCAAGTTTCTTCATTTCATGACTCCACTACTGGGTGGGGAAGTATGCAGAAATCCCTTCTTCACCTCATATACTTTGTAAAGGGTGCAGTGGAAAAAAATTAAGAGATATTCTGCCTCCAGGTCGAAGCTCTTCCTCTGTAGCCAGCTCTCTTCTTGACTACCAGAGAAGACCATTTGACACCTTAAAGTGTTTATTCCTGCTTTTGCGAGTCTGCCAGACTGCCTCCTAATTCTATCCAGTTGACTGAAGAATGGTATCACACTTCCTAAGAATAAAGAAATGTAAAGCCTTTTTTTACCCTAGACTTGAAAGTCTCAAAGTGGCACCTTTCTTACGATTTGGGAATGTGTTACTTGGTTATGAAATTTTCATGCCGTTCTTAAGTTATGAGTACAATCAGAGTGTTGCACCCATTACAATCTCTGAATGTACCATGTGGATTGAGGGACTAATTTGATCAAGAATACCCTGATAACACTAGGTCATTTGGGAATGGAGTAGGAAAGGCACTAGCAGCTTATAGAATCAGAAATTGTTTCACATAGAAGGTGATTTTAGAACGACATAAGATTCTAAGAGGTAGAAGTAAGAAAGTAGTACTTGGCTAATGTGGGTAACAACTAGGTCAAAGGTACTAAAATGGGAGATGGAATATTGTTTATAAGGAGAAGTTATGAAAGCCACTTTGGCTATACCATGTTGTGCATGAAGGGTAATAACATAAGGCTGGAAAGGTAGACTGGGGCCAAGTTGTGAAGGGCTTTAAATGTCAAATAGAGGATTTTAATTAGTAAAGCATTTATTCAGCACTTTTGATCTGCCAGACACTGTGCCAAGTAGTGGGGATAAAAAAGACAAGTATGTGGTTTCTGACCTCAGAGGGATCCCCATTCTAACGAGAGGGACAGTATGCAAAAAGCTACCTACAAAATATATACAGAGCAGATGGATTTTATCGAATAGGAGAGGTGACATGGTCAGACCTGCACTTTAGGAAAACTACTTTAGCAACTTCAGTGGAGGATGAATTGAAGTAGAGAGACTTAAGGCAGGAAGACTGACAGGAGGTGATGAGAGCCTGAAGTACATTAGTGTCTGTGTGATTGGAGAGAAGTGGACTTACAGAAGAGGTGTTGTGAAGGTAGAAAAATGACAAGACTTGGCAACAGATTGCATTTGTGGAATGATTGCAAGAGAGGAGTAAAGGATAGCACTGATGTTGCAAGTTGGGTGACTGGGAGGATTATAGTGTCATTGACAGTAAAAGGGAAATGGAAGGGAGGAATTGTTGCATTTTGGATTTGTGAAATTTGAGATGCCTATGGGAAATCAGGTTCAAGATGTCCAAAAAGCAGTTAGTGATTTGTATCTGGAGTTCAGCAGAAAAGCCAGGGCTGTGTGTGTGTATATACACATTTTTACATATACATACATAGAGAGAGAGAGATGTAGATATTGGAGTCATCTACATAGATATGATAATTGAACATCTGGGAGCTGATGAGATCACTGAAAGACATATTGAGGAAGAAGTAAAGTGGACCAGGGACAGGCTCTTGAGTGGAGTTGAGGTAGGGGAGTGCACCAGTGGATAGTGGGCAAGATCTAGATGAAGAACCAGCAAAGGATCTGATTGAGAAGGATCACCCATGAAGAAAGGAGAGAAGCAAGACAGAGACAGAGCGAGAAGTTGACAAAAACCCAGAGTAGGGAGTGTCTAAGAGAACGGGGTGATCAACAGTGTTGAAGGCTGGAAAGATGTCAAAAAGGATGTGAACTGAGAAAAGGGCCACTGGATTTGATATTTCCTTTATATTTGTTCATAGTGGTTATAGTGATTCACTAGGGCTTAATAAGTAGGAGTGACATGAGAAAACTTAACTACGTTTTAGAAATACACGTTAGCAATGAAACATTAATTGAAATGCGGACCCAGAGACTTGAGGCAAAGACACCTATGTGGAAACTCCTATAGGAGTCCAGGGGAGTGGTGATAAGGACCTTTATTCCAGTGGTTTTTTCCCCTTGTTTTGAAGAGCAATACTTTGACAGGTAGGGATAGCTCTCTGTAATTTTTTTTTAAACCCAAGATGTAGCATCCCTCTGCTGTTCTCTTTGGCATTACAGGTTTGTTTAGTCTTTTACCTCTGGATGTCCCAAGTTTGGGAATCTGACATTACTGAATGTGTGATAATGTGTATTTCTCTGTTCAGTCCTACAACCCCTGCTTGATGAAATCTTACCCACCTTTCAAAATCTAAGTCCTACATCACCTACATCATGGATCTTTCCTTGAACCCACCACAGATCCCAATCAAATAGGAAAGAGTTCAACAAAATGAAGCCTGTACTTTCCAGTGTGCCATGCTCAAGACTATCCAGTTGGGAACTAATTTTCCTATGGGCCTCAGGGCCCAGGAGTCAGGCCTGATGGCAAAGAATTCAAC